TCCAGCACCAAATCTACAGAAATGGTCCACAGGTTGCCCATGGGACCCTTTTGAACAGTACAAACAAACTCACAGACAAAACATAGGTATTTGAAACTCCGGGATTCGAAAAGGGTCGTGAGAGTTGTTGTACATACTCAATGTGGAAGTTAACAGCTACAGAAGTACATGTTTTAGTTTCTTCACAAAAGCAGTCTCAAGTGAATGGAACTAGAGGAAACGGTAAGCGGCACCCTGAGAGAGAGTTTCTTGGAGGGAATGTTAGGTCCACAACTGTATACGATATTTGTGGAGAAAGTTCCCAAAGGTTGATCTAAGGATTAGCATCAAATTAGTTGGAAACTCGTAACCAAGGATATTTTTACCTTGTTGGCTTACAGACAAGGAAGAGCTGGGTGGATTTCTAGCTTTATAGCATATATGCAGCGTAAAGTTCAATGATTTGTTTATATGTGGATCTACGATTTTCTGCCATGCAACGTTCTACTCTTGGAATTTCAGCTTTCTCAACATGAACGTATCAGAAGAAGATAAAAGGTAAAGTTGTTCCTGGACTACAAGGCAAGCAAAGGGACAAATACTCGCATTGAAGCTGAAATTTGATAATACTTTATACAAGTGCAAATTGCACTCGTATTTATTAACTGACAGTATAGGCATGGCTCCACAAAACAAGTCCTTGATGGTACTGTAAGTACATCCTTCGCCTTCCCATATACCAAGCTTGTAGCAATCCCGTAGGTAAATCGGAAAGTTGGTCTAGCTCTGTGAGCTTATCATAGATAAATAAATTGAGTTTGTTACCTTTGATCATCTTCATAGTAAGGTAAAGAGAGCACGTTAAGAACAACAAGCTGCCCTTACATTTCTACTCAACACCCACTGTACCCCTATACTGGAATACCTACAAGGTGACAGGAGCGCAGGGTTGTCACCAAACTCTTACGATCCACGATCCAGTCGTACTGTTGTGGAGCTTTGGGAGGAGCGGTTGAAAGCTAAATATGGCAGGAGTCAGATTGTAAAAGGACATGTGTCAAAGCAGGAAGATCTTCGAGATGATATTAACTTAGAATGAACACTTATTGTACAAATTGCCAGGGAGCACGAGACTCCTTGCTTGCTTGTGGCAATGTTCGCAAGTCTCTTTCTTTCTTTCTTTCTCTCTTTCTCTCTCTCTTTTCCTTTGATTAGACCGTGAATCATGACTTCAAACATAAAAGCAAGAAAACTTATCAGAACAGTATCTAATTGGGCCCTACCTCGATATCGAGAAAGGTACTAAGGGAGCATGTGAATACCCAAAAATCAAAAGTCATTTGAGGGGTTTGCTTACCGAGCCACACAAGAATGGTATGTCCTACTTAGACGCAAATCATAACGCGCTTTGTACCCTACTAGAAGCTTAGGTCCCACCAGCACAGGTACTTCGTTGATGATGTCTTACACTATGATGGAAGTTGCAAGTACCAATATTATCACCAGGTATTTGTAAGAAATGACGCCCTTCGGAGGTTCATCTTTTCGAGCTAATCAGTTTTAACAACACAACAGACAAGAAAGGGGAGAAGGAAAAAGGCAGAAGTGACCGCGACTATTTAGTCAGGTTGTGGAAGATCCGTTAATCTTCAAAATTCTGATGATCCAGCATCTTGATATTCTTATCTAGAGAACAGATTTGCTCTAAATTGGAAGTTTCAGAAAAGTCATGCTTGGTGCAACTTTCGTTCAAGTGTAGTCTCATTCAGTTCTCCTTAACAACGCTCAAGGTTTTGTATACCTTAGTGACTGCCTCCGGTGGATCTCCTTCACCGTCTATCAAAATGAGTACCCAGAATCTCTGGTGAAGACAGAAGTCAAAACATTTTACCCCTGACAATCCGCTTCAACGGTAGGCTCAGACGAGAAAAGAATTCAAGTAGATCTTCTGTCACAAGTACATAAACCGTCAAGAACGTCGGATTTCACACGTAACAACTCGCTTCTGTCAACCCCGTATCGGGAAAGGGATTTGATTGATAATCGTCACATCAGCAGAAAATTTTACGTCTTATTCTCTCATATCGCTCTGATGCTGAGCAGAAAAAAGTCATAGTACGAAAGAAGTTTGTGGTACAATATGAAGTGGGTCCCAGTTTTTAATCGATAGAACGGAATCAAGATTTTGTAGCCTGAAGGCATAGGTTTCTAGATTTTCGAACTGCAGGTATGAATGAAGGTTCGATTTAACATCCAGCAACATGCATCTGAATTTTAGTGCTAGAATCAAAGACAACCGCTCAGCAATACATCCAATATCGGTTGATTGCAAACTATTGCCACTTTCTCATCAATCAAGCTGTATGCTTCACAAGACTAGAATCCGGGGCACCTGCTCAGCAGTGCTCAGCGTTGAGCCCGAGACCAGATTATTCTGGACAGTCTGATGGCTCTCTCAGGATTTGAAATATACTAAACATTTTACTGGGGTTCCGGTTATGGGCAAAAAAACTATGACACCAGGGAGGGAACAGGATCATGTGATAAGCCGTGAGGTCGAAGGCTATGAAAAAAAAAAAGTAAAGAAGAAAACAGGGCATATGCCATTCTCTCCCTATTCTCTGATGTCACAAGTGTCACGGCAGTTGCTGCACGCGGATATAAACTACGACCTCAGTAACTGATTGAAGGTTGATCGATGTCCTGTTCTTGAAAAGTCTAGAGATCTTCTCAGACTAGGTTTTGCTCGTAAACGTTGATAAAGTTAGGGGTTCTGAAGTAACCGAGCAGGTAACTTACTTGAAGTTGTGGTTACTACATCATAGCCTCTAAACGAACGTTCTCAAGAAACCACAGGGTATTTTGACCTGCGAGATCATGGCATCATCAGATCCTAAGTTCAGACCTCACATCTGACCCGAGATTGCGCTTCCCTGTGGTAGCGACTCCTGTGATTTGACGGGATTTCACAAGCATTTGAGATAGGGACGGAGTTTTAGAGATGACATATCGAGAGTTGATTGTCATCTAGCTCACCAAGCGGTGTGTGAACAGGGGTGTTCATCAATGTTTATCTCGGACTCTGACAACTCTCCATACAGACCGATGTATTTGACGTACATGTGACATCAGCTTATCGTTGATGAACATGGCGTAATCTCAATGAACATGACGTATCTGGGACAATGCGCAGAAAGACACAATTTCTAGCTCACCATGGTATAGTCCGAAAATAAATTGCACTTCTACAGTTCGATCTCGACATCATTTTCTGAATGAACCAGAAGAGGAAAAATGCTCACGCAGAACGTCGACGTCCTAAGCTTCAGTCCAATTGGCGCCAATACATTTACATCCAAACTCGGTGCTCTGCACAAGATGAAAGTTATGCTGGGAACATGGAGATGTTGGGATAAGCATAGCATAGAACACACGCGTTGATCGAATGTAAGTGAGAATCGAGCTAGAGCCGAAAGGGGCAGAGACGAGCCTGCTAGTGAACGTCTTGCATAAGCCATGGGTCCGTGAGCGCAATTCGACCCGCGATCATGGCGGGATCTTGCGGACAGGACTCCATCGCAAGCGCGATCGGAACTCGTCCTTGGAGTGATCAGACGCTCACCGCCATGCTGTTCTTGGAAGGGATCGATCAGCTAGTGGGGATTTTGGGCTTCGACAATTTGGCCTGTAGGGAAGACGGGGTTAGAGGGTGGAATGGAGGTCTGGAAAGAGCGGGCTGTTTACAGCTTGCAAGTCATGCGAGGCCCCCCTATACCATACACCCATACGTCCAGGAAGAAGCCAGCCAGCCTTCCTTTCACACAGCAATGCGAGCGTCTTTCTTTCCAAAAGCCAAGCCCAGCCGGGCCGTACAGATAAACAAATAAAGAAACAAAAGTGAAAGAAAAAATCGTTAAAGTCATTTATTTTCAGCGAAGATTGATCGCGGAGGTTTTATTGTCTGACTCCGGCCGGGCTCTAAAGGCCTGTACGTGTTTTAAAATTATAAGGAGCACACTTGTCGCAAATTGCGGAGAGGATTGCGCGCGCGCGCCATGCCTTCATACGACCACCACTTCGGCCCGAGGACAAAATAGATGATCGTGTAAACTGTTTTGTGCTGCTGCAAATGGCCTGGCCTGGCCTGGCCTGGCCTGCTCTCGTCTGGCTCGCCCAGTGTCATGTCATGGCGTCGAAACCCCCTCATGGACGGATGCGCGGTCGCTCTCGCTATCCTTTCGTGGCCTTCGTTTCTTTACGCCTTCTCTCGACTCCTCCCTCGTCTCTCTTTCTCCGGCGGGACAGCGTCCGCGGCCCTCCTGCCGTGCCAGCAGCGCGCGCCTCGCTCGCCTCCTCGGCCCGCCCGCAGTTCGAATTGCTCGACCCCAGACACGGAGAGATCCGCGGGCGGACGCGCTGCCGAACGAGCAGTGCCCAGCCGCGGGCGCGAAGTGGCACGAGAGGTCAAAAGCCGAACGAGCGGGGTGAGCCGAGTTAGCTCGGCTCACCGGTCAGCAATATACCGAAAATTCGCTTTTACAAAAAACCTCCGAAAATGCAATATATATTTCTCGAAATAAGCCTTCCTCCGCGGACTTCTGTCTCTTTCGCAGAAATAATTTTCGCGAAAAGGCTGTATTTGAAATCCTAAAAATATGACTGACAGGCCTCCGGGATCTACCCGAATGTTGGTCTGGAATAACTGGAGTTAGAAACAGAACATGGTTCTCCGGTACGAAGTAATCTCCGACTGCCTTACAACAGCAGACACATGGACACTACAGTACTGGCAGTGATGGTGGAGAGGCCTGACCGACTAAGCAAGTGAAGTCAAGTGAAGTGAAGAGAGAGGCGAACTGCAGTAGAGTAGGTGACCACCGGAATGAAGTGATAAAGCACAGGAATACAACATGAACATTATCGAAACCGAATTCCTTGCCGCTGCCGCTACGAGCCCGTTGCCTGGGGGATGATTCCCTCCGGCGTCGTCATTCGTTCTCTCTCTCTCTCTCTCTCTCTCTCTCTCTAGCTGCAGGAGAAGCGGGTGGCGAGTTCGCCATCGATCTCGGCCGGGCTTATTAGGCGGGGGGGCCGGGCGGGGCGGGACTGTACTAGAAGACGGAACGGGGGAGAGGAGGGGCCGAGGGTGAAGCGGCCTTAAATTAGGAGCCTCCCACGAGAGAGCAGAAAACGGAAGAATGTGAATGGGAATGCAACTTGGGAATCGCGACTCGCGCAGTTCGCAGCACATCAGTTGCAGCGCTGCCGCGCCTGTTGTGCTGGGGCGGGATGCTGCAGCCGCATCGGCTGCTAGTCATTCGACATGTGGACACGTCGAGTATATTGTCTCCTTCCTTCCACCCATTCTGCTGTTGCGCTGCTGCGAAGCGGAACGGAGCGTTTGTATGATCACGAGGTTGGCTGCTGTCTGTCTGTCTGCCTGCCTGCCTGTGGCCGCACCGAAGCAGGCGATGGGCGGAGCGCAGCGGCGAACGTGAACTCTCACCTTTCTTCGGATGGCCACTGTTACCCTCTGCAGTCCCATTGCAAGTCGAGCTGTGCGCTGATGACAAGTTCCTCACTTCCTCAGTTCTACAGTAATCCTGGCAGTGGTCGGTCGTTGACTTCGTGTCTCCCTGAATTGGTGACAAGGAGAGAGAACTTATGTTCCGTTGTCAGATCATTGTGATCGCGTTCTCTCGAGTTGGGTTCGGTTTCGATTGATGGCATTATTCATTCACTCAGGACTTATGACAGGCTGGGTATGGTGGATCGAGCAAGCGATCTAGCTACATAGGTAGCTCAAATCAGATACTGTACACGTTTATTCCGCAGCTAGGACTTTATTATACTTATTCTTTTCTTTTCTTTTTTATAACGATTATTCCTCTTTGAATGCATGAGTGAAGTCCTGCAGGCGCTCGTGACGAGAGAGGCTATATGCACAGGAAGAACCCGGCCGTGCTGTGAGGAGCATTAACATTCATTCTATCTGATGGGTTTCGTTAATCTTGTTGGATTGATTCTCTGGACACTGACCCCTCTGCTGGTATGGGCCACTGATTCTAGGAGACCGGCAGGGCAGCGAACGCCCACACTTGCTCTTCTACAAGTTTGTGGTCGCTCGCTCGTCCGAACACCATGTATCTGATTGCCAAGTCAGTCAGAATCTTGCGGATGTTCACGTGGCGAAAGACTCGTCAGCAATTCTGCTGTTGAACTACTACACTCGAGGATGCATTTCTAACGTCTAGACTTGAGACTCTTCCGCCTGTATCAGCTCCCCTAACGTTGCGAGTGCAGATGATCATGATGGTCGGAACACCGTGCACGATCCTCACACCGAACGGTGTATAGCAATTCACACTCATGAGTCCGCTGAAATGGCTTCCGCATTTTAAACGTCGACTTGCAGTTTGCTCCAAACCCAGGAATTCTTTCTTCGATCCCAAAGTGGAGTCAGTCAGCCTGCGCCAATTCTAAGTGTATGCAACTAGGGCTGTATTTTCAAAACCAGAATTGCTGAAGAGTTTTTTGCCCCGGTCTTCTCAAGAATGTAGGAAGTTTTCATCCCGCCTGTACTGCTACTACGACGGAAATTTATTTGCTCTACCTACCGAATGTTGCTGTGTTGAGCGCGATCGCCCGAACTTGGATGAAGTGGATCGTGACGTCGGATTCTTGTGTATTAACGTGGCGAAAGACTTTTCAGCAATTTTGCATTTGAATGTCACTAGCCTCGAGAAGCATCCTACGTCCAGTTCCAAGATAGTCTCAGTCCTCATTCACCCCGAACTCATTTTTCAATATACCTTTCCTAATCAATCGTGGATTGCATCGGTCCTACCAGGAATACTAGAAAACCTCTGATAGCTCACGATATTATAGCTGGTTTCACCTCGAGAATGGTTCTTCACTATGCTGCGATTAGTGAATCCCGTCGAGCTAGTGGGTGTGTATCAAGATGTCTTGACATTCTGCACTGGCCTGCGTTCCAGGTTCAAAGACAGAATTGCTGAAGAGTTTTTTGCCACGGTCATCTCAAGAATGTAGCTTGATGGAACTTCCTTTCACCTTTTATGTCACCATTTCTGCTGTCACCGTAGGTGGATTGGTTCTTTTGCTGCAGATTTGAGATACTTGCGAACATTGGAGGATTCCTGAAGTCTTTAATCTACTGAGGTATGCGTCAATGTACGTGGACATACAACCTTCACCATCTTTACACTTCTGTATGTACCAGGAGCTATAGATGAATATATGATCGACCTCTTTTGCCATACCTTTTTATGTTACGTTTACTGACGCGGCTCTAACGTGCTCTTCTCTTTTCTTAAACCAGAAACGTCGTCCTGTTTACATATAAAGATCTCATTTTCTGTATCTTTCTGTATATTTAGTTAAAACGTCATGTCTTAGATTTTTCAATCAGTGTAGGACCCGTGCTTGAAGATCCAAATCGACCACAACCGACTTGATGCAATAGGCCGCCACTTTATCGAGTATGGAGTGTTTAAGCGTTCGTGATTTAGTACATCATTCCGTTCATCACGTTACTTTGCTCCCAATTTACTATCTATCAATCATACATCGAAGATAGGACTCGTAATCTTAACGTGACTTCAAATATATCTGCGTATTCTCAGAGAGTTATCACCACTGTTGAAACTTACACTTAGAAATGCCTTACAATTCATGCGACTGATTCGAGGATTTATAGGATTCAGATGCTAATATCATGAATTTTCAGTTCAAACTGGTGGACTATTTATCTTAGTCTGAAATGCATGATTTGCAGTCAGACTCAGCTGGATGTTCGAGGGCGCTCGTCGAGGAGGAAATTATTGCGGTCTATTCATACTTTGTGCCTCGAGACTACGTTATATTGTTGTGGAGCTGAACTTTTATTCCTTCTGTAGACATGGCATCGTGGTCGTTCTTAGTATTTATATGTAGAAGGTTCATTGTTGAGGAGCGGTCGATAATGGAAACATATGTATATGTTCTGATCCATACGACTCCTTGAAGGCAGGTTCGCTGGCTACGTGCTGCAACTGTTACATTATATTTTAAGTAGATCGAACAAAGTTCGTGATGTCTGATTCAAAGACTTGTTATGAAATAGGCAACATATCAATCAAGAAGTCTCGGCTTCAACTCGAGTAATTGGTATGCTCCATGATGGTTATATTAACTGTTGCGAACATCATGCGAGTGCTAGCTCAATACTCTCATCATGCATGCGTTGAAGTCTGTCTGATCGCTGGTGGGTCTCGCATGACCTCCGGTTTCCACTATTTTTTTGAGGCTATGGTGGCTCAGAGCTGTGGTATTCATATCTCTCTCTGCTCATGACTGGACTCAGGTCCGATTGTTTCTCAGTTCATGTACCATGCGTGTGTAAGGTACTACATAACACCCTTAATGAAGTATCGAATATTTATCTTCCATGTCGAAGCACCCGGTTGAAGATTTTAAAATTTATTCGACATGTATGAAAGCCTTCTGAATCATCTGTCTATATGTCACTCATCACCTATCATCAGACATTGTCACCCATCACCTATCATCAGACATTGATGTGTGTGCAGTCTCCAATCTTAACACTGGATTTGCTAGAGGACATGTTTGAGTGGTCCCGTGACCGCATTTTCCCTGATTACAAACTCTTGATTTTCCTTGGAGTAATTTGGAAAATATGTGTCATGTAAGAGAGGAACATTTCGTTTTGTAAAACGTGTATCCTGCCCGGGAGTGTGTAACAGCAAGCGACGAGAGGTGACCTTGACTGATTTACGTTGTGTCGAGAAGTGCTCGATAAAGCTGTCAACGCGATTTACGTTCTGGACCCGCTGTCCTTGCCTTTGGCGTTGAGCCTATCTGACTCAAAGTGACCTATGTCGACTGCTGATACCGGTTGAGTGTTTTGGTTGCTGCACGTTTTTGGTGTTGAAATCACAAATGTGTTATTCTGTTCCCGCGACCTTTCCAGAAGCTCAACACATAAATCGCTAACAGTCGCAACAGAAGACTCGCGATTCGCAATGCAGTGATGGCCAGTGTTTGGAGCCCTGAGGACCGTAGCACGGGAGGGGAGGATGAATATAGTTAGGGTTCGCAGAACAACAATAAGATTTAGGTTTGCAGTCGAACTTTAGTCTGCCGATTTCATCCTACGTAGGTAAGCAGGGCTAAGCCAGCAGAGTGAAGAATGAGTATTGTCGACCGGAATCTCATCTATCATCGAAGCTAAAGAGCGTAAAAGTTCTCAGGCCGGAGGATCTCAAATCTGCACAGGTGCTTTCTCCTCCTTTACACGCGCGATCAGTTGTTTTCGTGAGCCTTGATTTGCTGCGCCTCGACATTCTATTCGTTACCAGTGTACCGAGGTCTCAGACAGGTACGTAATGTTTCCCTGAGATGTTGTATCTGGCGTGTATCTCATAGTCCTGCCTCGCTACGTCACAGCCCCACTCAAACGACAGTACAACCAAAGTCCGCATTATGTCTACTGCAAGAGTAGGTCCTCTTTCCTTTGACCGCCCCCAACCCCGCACAACGCAAAGAATGTAAAACATTGGTTTCTCCCGATTGATGTAGATCTGATGGTCCACGGCACGTAGACCAGGAAAAACGACACCTTTTTACTCTGGAAGGGCGAGTTCTTTTTTTTCCCGTAGGATGGAGAAGATAGTGCAAACTGACGCCATGTCAAGTCTCGATGTTTTCGCTGACTGCACCTTGAACGCCATCTTTAGAAAGTCGTTGGACAACCACTGATCGGCAGAAAGGGCGAACATGATTGCTCGTCACCGTACCAATAAATTTTCCTCTTTTAGAATCTCCTTCTCAAGTCTTTGCAGACTTTCTTCCACACTCATTCTAAGTCAAAAAGAATAGAGCAGTCGTACCAACTGCCGATAGATGCACACAAACCTTCTCTTAAATTCACTTGTACGTTAACTCGATTTCGGCCGTATCATGGTGTTCGTATATGTGTAATGAAGTTCGTACTCGATAGATTCTGTAACCTCGAATTCAGCGTTTCTGGGGAGTGTCTGAGTCATAATCATATCTTTCAGCATTGTAGAGCAGGACATGGACGATCTGGAAGTGACCAATGTTCCGTTCATCGTCTGAGCATATATTGTACTGTAGTTTAAGCCTATTGTAATTCAGTCTTTTTGCTCGTTGTCTACATTTATGCACCATCTTTATTTACAAATGGTTTGTGACATCCTTCATATAAAATTCTCCTCATATCTTATGACGACCTGTGATCTGAATCTGCGTGACGTTCTAAGTGCTACAGACACGTGATTTTCCTCAATTTCACTGCATGAACCATGGTTCTAGTGGATTAGAAGATGGCCCAAGTTGCTTCAGCGGCGCCCGCAATGCTTTCTATCTTTTATGCTCAGAGTCCTCGTATTGACTTCACAAGTTTATCTGACCACACTATTGAGCAGATAAGACGGAATGAGAAGTTTATGTTATCTTGTCTGAAACATCTCCACGTCATAGCAGGCCCGTCCAATCCGTGGCCAGTTTTCTATCCTTCCGGTCAAGGTCTCGCTTCCCTTCATTCTTGAGGTGGCGTGCCAGAGGTCAAGGCGGTCCTTCACTATTATACCAGATAATTTGTAATGACAGAGAAGTTCCCGTACCGTTTGTATTTGGCAGTCGGCTCTATGTCGCAGGCAGAGATGTTATGCTGCACTCTCTTGGAAGACTCTTAGTTCGTCCCAGGAGACATCTCTTCTTGATCACGTAATCATTTACAGGCCCTTGTTCTAGAACGTGTTAATGTTTTTGAACACAGCGATATTCTGAGATTCCTGTTTCAGTCCCATGGCGTTCAACGTGAGAAGCCAGGTGGCTGGCCAGTTGGTACTATCGCTAAACTACTTATTGTGTTATCTAGTCTCGTTCTCAGTGCGTAATTGATTTAGAGCGTGTGCCTTGTACTGTGATAATGTTTCTATCAACACGCTACGTTACGTGTCATTTTACTTCGGGATTACCATGTGTAAGTCAAGTAGATCCGTCAAGATCTGTAGTAATGGCGCTGGACTGATCAGCTAACTGTTAATACTGTATCGTTTCTCATGAAAGAACCTGCACTTCCATCATATCTGTAAGGAAACTTCATAGGTCAATTTCATCGTAAGACTCTCACTTGCCTGACACTGGGCTATCTCGGCGGATCTGTTCCGACGTCCTGAGCACTTCCAAGACCTTCCGCGTCTTCCTAGAGTCGTTGCGTCGAAGCAATGCTCATGTCTATATGAAGAATATTTATCCAAGGAGCTGTTCAGCTTTGGCCCACTCGGCCCTCCACTAAACGTAGGTATACAGTCCTGTCTTAGAATTATCGTGCACACAAGTTGTGGGCAAGGATTATTAGTTATACAAATCACTGGAGCGGACCTGGACCGTTAGTAGTCAGAGAAGTCGATGCGCTTTGAAGTAATCACTCAAAGCGCAGTGAAAAAAGTAGCTTATTTCCATTATTTAGTACTTTACAACGGAATCTATGACGATTGCGGGAGGTCGATTGGATAACGAACAGTCTTCTCCAATTACCAACCTTGAAGCGTACTGTCTTTGCTGTAGTAGGTCCTTGCGCTTTATTATTCTTACTCATGTCAGTCCTGACACTCTTACGTCAGGACGTTCAGAGAACCTCTGAGGCGAAGATGAGTGTCTGAACAATTTTCAAGGACGCACCCCAAGGTTCGGCAACTGTTCCAGCTCATGCGGCGCTGATTGCCTCACATTTCAAAGTAAGTGAACAGGGACACATAGAAGTAATATAGATAGCTCCATGTTGTGTTGTCCTTGCTCGTCACTTATTGTAAATCCTTGTGTACTGCTTTTCATGGCTCAGCTTCGTTATGACACTTTTGTCATGAAAACCGGGTACAGCTGTTGTGTGTCACAATTCCCGTATGTCGTCACTAATTTCAAGACTTGAGGAGGCCTTCATACTCCACCTTGGCAGGTTCTCGATTCAGAACGTGCCTTGCCTGGACCAGATGGATGCGGCATTTCCTTTCGTATCGTCTTCGGATCGATCAAAGTACATGGAAATATGTCAAGCGCTATCGAACGTCAGTACTACCACTAAGCTTGTCTGTGCATACTTCTTCGCTTGCAGTAGTTTGTCCGGGTACAGGGACGCTACTTATTCTGGCTTACTTGCTTCTTCCACTATCAGCTCAACGGACCTAGTGCAAATCCAGACTTCGAGGACCCAGTGGAGATCAAACCACAAAAGCCAAAGAAGGTTCTCGTGGAAGAAGTCTGTTTTCAGCCAGAAGGGCTGGCTAAGGTTAACTAAATTCTCAACTGAGGTCCTGGTCTATAGTCTTGAGCCCGAAGAGCAGAAGCTGCTTGTCTGATATATGCCGTTTTATGCTAAAGCTAGAAAGGAAGTAGGTTCGTCTAGTATCTCGAGGGCCATGTCTCATTAGAAGCAGATGTTTACTTGAAAGTACTGAGTAGTTCTTGATCGTCTTTTTTCTCATCTCCCACTTGACTTTGCAGTTGCTGACGGGTGATTCCTAAACCCTTCCAAACCCAGTCGTCCTTTAATGTCGATCGACCTGCATTTCCGCATCCATTGTCAGTTACTTCGTTCTGTGTCTTTTAGGGGTTGTTTCTTCTGCTACCTTCAGCTGACTTCATTGCAATTCATCTCATCTTTTATTTTAGATTCTGATATCCGCAGTGTATACAATCTGTTATCGATACCTACAGGACTTACTGTTCCGACTTTTGACTGGGGAGTTATACACAGGCGCCGCAGGACTCTAGAAAACCATTCCTACGAGCAAAGTCTCACTCAAGTCGCATTCTGCCCAAGGTTTGTAGCGTTGTTTGTGCTGAATAATATTTATCACTGCCTTCTTCAGCTGTCAACTACTAGGACTCTGCGCGGTGAAGCAGCCAGTCGTGACAAACACAGAAAAAAAAGGTTGCTGCTATTGTAAGACCCCAGGATCATGAAGCAGTCTCGAAAATATGTTTGGTAAGAATCTAAAGCTAGCATTTGGTACATGTTGGGCAGGCAAGTAGCCCACAACATGGCTTTAATCATCCCCAGGAGCTTGCGACCAAAAGGTCAGCCACTCCCAGGACCCCTGCGGACCTAAAGAAGAAAAAACCGCTTTCAAATGAACAAAATCAATTGCAGGCCTCTAAAACCCTTCAAAGATCCTCCTCTCGATCTGCAACCCACCACTGCAGTGTGAAAGGCAAACAAGTATCGGGAAGTGACGTAGTCCTCGAAGGTGAGGTGTCGGAATCTTGTGCGGGGATATGAACACGCCCGAGAAGCACGGTACACTGCGAAGTAGCGAGCGTTTACGAGTAACTACTCCAGTCTTTATGTATACCTTACAGTACAGCCCATTATCTGTGAAGATAGGGTAATGTAAACCTAGATGTGGGGAAGAGTCCCGCTTGTATCTGGGATGATGGATTTTCAGGCATGTGCACGGATTTGTGACCACTTATAGGTGTCATTGTGGATGCCGGGCGAGCGAGGGAAGCGTTGGTTCAAGTGTCTAGTGTGCCCTCCAGGTGGTATTATTTCGAGTATGTCTCTATGTTTTTTCTTCTCCACGGAAGTCTGATATAAGCGGTCGCTTTGTCTACCACGTCTGGGATGTGTGGTGGTCTCGTGGCTGCTTGGCCACAGCTTACCAGACCATGTCCATTGTTACTTCTGGTGGCTGCCATGTTCAAAGTACGCATGATGCTCACTAAACAGTCACCGACTCTGTTGAATAGATTCAGCCTCAACATGAGCAATGCGATAGAGGAGTTGAAAGGTGAGAAGGGTGAATAATGTTCATGGCGAACCACGTAGACAACAGCGGAACAGAACGCTTGGTTGAATGCATGTGTTGACTGCATACTAAGTTCTCTGGACCAGCGAAGCCAGGAGTAAGCTAGCCGAGTGCAATTTAGGTGTACGGTATTATATGTCAACAGCCGGCAACTCTCTTATGCTGTACTTCCGCAAGAGACTCAGTAACCCTTGACTGCAATCTCCACTGCCTTCTGTACGGCAGCCTCAAGTCTTCGTATTATCCGGACCTCATTGCAATGAGCGGTCCAGCGTCGAGTACGCATGATAGAGTTCGCCCAGAGGACATCATACTGCCACTTAGAAGCAACTGCCTCGCTTCTTTCTAGTTCAGGAGGGGAACGCTGCAGTGTATGCGGTTCCAACTCTCCGAAGCAAGTTGTTTATCCATACTGGTCTTCCGCGGATGTCCAGCGAATTTCGCTTTCTCAAACAGGCTGGCAGACCTGAAATAAATGTCGTAATTCTGGCGAAACTCTGGGCATTCTCCATCGAGGCGGTCGTCTCGAACAATGTACAAGAAAGGTGGAGATCTTGCGCACAATTGGTCACATAAGGGTGGGAAATATAGATCCCTCGTGTATGACAAACTCGGGACCCGGTTGCCCCACAGCAGACGGGGTCACAGTTTGTAAGAGCGCCGAAGCTCGAGGTCGAAACATGCCGCTGAAAATAATAAATGAAAATAAAGCAAAATAAAAATATAACGCACAAGGGCTGCTGTCAGAGACAGGTGCAGTTCAGCTGAAATGGTCCGGAATCGAATTTTCCACCGGCCAGGGAATATCTTTGGAAAGTTCCGTCTAACTTCAGCTACACCCAAGACTTGAAGCGAGGTTCCTTCCTTCGAGGTTCCTACAGTCAGATTCCTCGCAGCCCGAAATAGAAGATATGTTCAATATGTAAAGCTAAAGCGACAAAGATAGCAAACATAAGCGCAAGAAATTAGGAGTCGGCCTGCTTCGATCTATGGGGATGATCTAGAAGAATGTGAGCGCACAGAATATACCACCTTTTGCACGTGTAGAGGGTGAGTCACATACATCTCCCAATCAGCTGTCGCTCTGCTCTATACAGAGTTAAACCTCCCAATAGTGTCACCTCCTATGAGTGACATACTCCCATTAGTGACATGAAAGTGTGGAACCATTAGTTTCTAATGTATAAATCTGTTCAATAAGAACCGTACGTCACTATTGGCAATAGTGACATGAGAAGATTCAATAGTAACATGGTGGAGCTTTAATGACTATTATAATTATCGAAAATATCCGGTTAGAACTTCCGGATTTAGAATTCTATTTTTTTTTCTATGCTTCCAGTGAGGTTGAATCATGATTGTAACTATATTATGAGAAGATTGAATGCGTCAAATGTTAACTGCTCTTGTTATCATCTGCTACTTTTCCTTGACATACGTCAAATATATGTCTAACAAGACAGGTCCCAAAAGTACGTGGATGTTCTGATTTTATGCTCGGAGCATAAGTTAAGGAAGTGTGCTCTGAATTTCGCGATGAAACATATCTTACCGAAATTTATATTATTTTGCACATGATTTGTACAAAGGTTGTTCCAGGATGGCGTTAGTGCTCAGTGTGATCCAAACACTTAGCATTGAGATATTCCGAGTTATATAAGGGACAAATTGAAAAATTCAATTTCGACTAGAATCTTGGGTTCTTCAACCAGCTCAAATTTCTAAGTCAAGGGAAAAATGGAAAAATTCAATTTTGACAATTGATATTCATGTTGATTATAACTACCATTGTAATCTAGAGAGTTTTGCAAAATATACCAAGCAGAATTGGTTCCTAATATTTCTCAAACGAGAAAAATTCCTTCTCGATTGAACCATGTAATTCTTTCAGTAGTAAAAACTTTCTATATACAGTAGAGTACAGAAATTTCAAAAATCTTATATAGTAGAAATTGTTGATATATAGGCAAGTATGAAATCTTATGTATTGGAAATCTTCTCATCATAAATATCAGATAACTATAATCTCATTGATCATTGTTGATGTAAGTTCAAATTTGAATCGCCAAATGATCCGCTAAATATTTAGCGGATCCGCTAAATATACAATAAGAATGTCTCCACATGATCCACTAAATATTATCCAACCTCGTGTGAGTGACACCTTCCAATAATGACATAAAACTATAGAACCAATGTATGTCACTATTGGGAGGTTTAACTCTGTACCTCCATTCCTGGCCAAAACGAGGTGGCACATCACGTGGTCCCGATTGGCCCCTTGCCCCAACCATTGTCGAGTTTCAAGATATTGTATCCGGCGAATCACTGTAACCACGGCATTTGTAATCTGACACGAGGAGCTTGACAGCCAAGTGAATAGGCCAAAAGTTTTATAAAAACGATGGGAAGACCCGTCAAACCCAACAGAGAGCAAAAATACGAGGGGTTGGGCACATATAGTTTCATGATAGAAAATACAATTACATCATATCCAAAATATCTCAACTATCAAACTCGCCATAAATTATAAAAAGATAAAAGAGACCAGTTTCGATAGGTTTGTGTTATAAAACTTATTATATCACCTATAATATATGGGCTATCAAGATTAAACTAACTACAGACAATAGGTGTGTCAAATCCTTTATGCATAAACTTAGCCAATAATCTGAGTAGAAACTTGAAACAAGAATACCGAAATGAACTTCAAAATATGTTTGAAGTATTCTATATATACTTACTTCTGCACTTACTCACAAGCATGTAATTTACCTCCATATACCTCCAATCTTAAAGGATGTGATCTTTTGCATATGCCTAGATATGTACCTGAAATTTTAATTGTTGTCCTTACACTTCACGTCGATCCAAAGAGTCATTTTTCCTCGGAACTATATCACCTGGAGTATTGCTAATCATCAAATATATATAACCACAACTTCGTCTTCTCTAACGATCCGCCCTAACTTTCGTCGACTACAGGAAATGACCCAACACTTTCTATGTGAGATAGTATTTTTTACACAAAATCAGAATAATCACATTTTTAAAAGCATGGTTAGCATTCTTACTTTATCCTTCAAACAGGCATCGAATCATCAATAATAGTCATTTTCAAGTGAAATAACTGTGAATTTCTATTGAATCGACAACAGTATCTCATTCATGTTTAAGCAAATAATTTACCAATCCTAGAAAATTTCATCGTTATGATAAAATTAATAGGTGGAAACGATTGAATCCACTAAACTGATTGAAAGCCTACTGAAACTTCACTTCCAATCAGTTACTATATAAATATTTCATTTTCATAGATTTTGATGATAGAATTGGAGCTTAGATCATGCCTGAATGCTAAATATCTCTTTTATGAAGAAGGATAACGGTATATAATCCCAAGTCATGTCATCCATACATCCCAAATCAAAATTATAAATATATAGCTAGAGTCTGGAATTAATTAAAAATTGTGATGTCTTTTTTATCCATAATGAAACTATATTCATAATAAATGGAAAAAAATGTTATATCTTGACGATTCAAAAAAACACATTTAACGACGCTTTCATCAATCTTTTCCAAATGCAAACATGTAGATATAAATTCAATGTTGCATAAATTAGATAAAAAAATTTATCTATTTGTAGTATGAAATAATGAAACAAATGACTAAGTTTTGTATTTATGATTTTAATGTAACAAAAAAATTTAAGTTTCAATTAAACTACTAAGTTCAATTGAGAAATATTCTTTTCTTATTTTACTTCATTTTACTCAAAATAAATTAAATATAAAACTAATGCATCATTTTCATTAATTTTGAAATTTTAAATTTTAAATCAATTTGAATGTATCAAATTCATATCATAAACTTTAAGATAAAGTTACTTGCATTTGAATTGTATTGTATGTAATTTTCGCTTGATCATAATACTATAAACGTAATTCTTCTTCTTTTTTGTTTTTTAGAATACACCAATCATTCTAAAATGTTGATCTTATATTTGTCACCATGTGAATGAGGTAAGATTCATGAACAAATTTTATGTATCATCAACTTTTACATTCCAAGATCAAATTTACTTAATTTTTAATCTACTCAATCCTCTCAAGATTAGCGAGATCACATTTTTGGTTTTGGAAAAAAATGAAAATGACTAGAAATTTTACGTTTAACAAAAAGTATACTTATTATTTGTTATTGATTTTATCTTGAAAATGAAAATATATTTCATATTTATAAGAAGTAATTTTTTTTCCAACTTCCTCCTTTTTAAAAAAGTTTTTTTTATTTTTTCCTATTCAACATTTTTTTTCCTTCATCTTTACTGAATTTTGTTTTATATATTTCCACTCTTTAGGATGAAACATTTTTATTATGTATATTTTTTCTAAACATAATTCATAGTTTTATCTTGGACATTAGTTCAATTTATGATTTCTCAAAATTTAGCTGATTAATTATTGTATCCAAGTTGCAAAAAGCTTCATTCTTGAATCTATCTGGAAAAGATAAAATAAAATAATTCGCTCAATTATCTCCTTTCACACATTTTTTTTCAAATTGACTTAATTTAGTCAAAATTATTATGTCAAGAGCATCCAATCAATCTCACCTCATCCCTATTCAATGATGATAATATTTGATCCAAATTTACAAAACTTTGTTTTTACTGCTTATTTAATCAGATTCATATTTTCTAATTTATCTTGTGAGATTCTACAAATCAAATCATTTGTCACATAAATTCCAATATTCCAATTTTAGTTTGTATTGCTAAAATTTCTTAATCAACAATGTAAAATTTTGGCATTTAAGTAAAACATGTTAATATTTTGAAATCAATATCATGTATTATCACACCAAAATTGAAAGTCATGTCATACCCTCAAAGTCATGCGAACCAAATTTTTAATATTTATTAAATGCTTTCGCTCATATCTGCTCTAACATAATATTTAAATATAGAAGTAATTCATTATTTCACATCAGAGAGTCATCAAATTGATCGAAAGGATTTGCTCTTGCGTGAGTGATCTTCAAAATCTGATACTTATATTTCGAAACGAGAATGCGGCTTCAAAGATGGCCAAGAACGTATTCTTACAGATTTCCGATTCTACTTCACTTTCAGATAAAACACATTCTCGTTATCAAATACTTGTGACAATCCAAAAAAATACAAATACGTTGTTAAAAAAATATTCTTTGAGGACAAATCCCTAGATTTCATCTCGGCAAAAGATTATTTCTCAAAGGTTCAAAATAGCCTCAATTCCTGGAGGACATGATCCATCATTGGGGATTAAGATCTCAATCCCAATATAGGGTCATGTACTCTTGGAATTGAGATCTCAAACTCTTCTATTCGTCACGTTAATTCTCACGGTCTGCTCCATATATTTTCAGGATTCTCTGAGTCGACAAGTCAAGAAGATGCACAGTTTTATCTTATTCTATTTTCTTGTTATCTACTCTGCTTTTCTTCTCTCTACATGTGTGTATGGAATCAAAAGACTGTACAAAATCCTTAAGCTGTGTCTTCAAGTTTGTAAGAAGTGTTTATAGACCTAGACAAGGGAAAAAGGTGTCTTTAGACCTATATTATGTCTCAAACACGGCCAATTGTGAGTAGCCGACCGATACAAATGGCTCAAAACTTTTATTTGGAATTGTGCAGTTTAGACAGGTGGGTATGTTAAAAGATTTGCGTATGTCACAAAATGAAAGTTCCAGCTAAAGGTTCAACAGTATTTTCTGTCTAAAAGAATACGAATGCAACCCCAATGCACGTTTTACGATTCTGCCATTTTGGCCATAAGCGCCTTGCAACACGAGAAGGGGGCTCGTTGACTCGCCACTTCGGATTTCATTTCAATTTGGGGGTGACCATTGACGCAATGGTGGTGCTAGTGTCCATGCAAAAAGTATATGGGTCCATGTCAATGTCTCTCGGTGGTCTATATATATTTATTTTTTAATTTACTTGCGTCCAAGTAAAATAGCTGAAGGATGGTTTGGCAGTTAGTGTCCACAGCACATTCAATTGGTACAAGTTGTGTACCACCCTCTGTTTCCTTCAGACTTTAGATTTTTAAGTTTATTCACACATGTGTTCCATACGTTCAAATAGGATATGGACCGTCCGTTGAGTCTTGCACATGACGAATCCTGTGGCTTAAATGCAAAAGAATAGAATGACATCAGGTACGATAGACTCCCTACACTATAGACATTTTTCTCATGTGAACAAAAACTGACCATAGATACAATGAGCAGCATCAAATAAGAGGAGCTATACACGAGGGCCAACATAGGAATGTGTGGAAGACTGTAGAGCTAGATGTTATTACGTCTCATTAGAATTGCTTTTCGGAGTCATGCTTTTACTTTGTGTTCTGTAGAATTGACTTGTTTGTTATTTACATCCAAATAAATCTTGGACATACTTTTTTAAGCTATATGAAGTGTAAATTTTTATCAAACGGAAAGTTGCGAAGTTATTTAATTGTCTTTTGCTTGTTGGATGATTCTTCAATAAGAGTTGCACAACTTCTTTAACTTTCCATACACATCTACATACAATTTCGGATTTCAAACTGCTATGTGTGGAGAACTTATTGTCTTGAACAAGTGTAATGTGTATTAATCAAAGGGAGGTGAATTTATTGGATTCGCTGTTAAAATTATAATTTTTGACTAGTGGTAGATGTCTCATAAAATATTTCTTTCAGATCAACTCCTGATCTACCAAGAACATGATCCTTCAATCAGGATTGAGTTATAATAAATGTTATGCTTTAAAATATACTAAGTTCAATGCATGAAATCAAATGTGTTCATTTTTCGTTGGAATATTAAGTTGAGCCATTTAAATAAATTACATAAACGTAATTCTACTCTTATATATTTTTTGTGCAAAATATTCAATTGACATTGCAACTCATGATCAAAGATACTTTCATTTAGTTTTTTAATATAAAGTATAAGTTTAAATTTTAATATATTTATATTTCAGATATTAGAGTCGTACTTTGAAACTGATTTATTCATGCATTTGATATTTATTTGTTCATTGATATTCAATCTAGTCATGATGTTTCATCTGGATTCTTAATCCACAAGAAAGTTTGCTCCCTCTTTATGTCTTCAGATGACTATGCTAGCATTATCTATGTTCTTATATACATGACTAGATCATGAGATTTGAAATGTGTGACATCTAATATAATCGGTGATCAGATTTTTAAATCTAAAATTGAGAGTTATATCATTAAAACTAAAAACACAATTTTTCGGACTAAATTGATACTCTTTGCAATTTTGTCATAGACGGTAATTAATATTGCAGATGTGCTCATCCTTGGAATTTATGGTGAAATGAGAACATGGAATCATTATTACTTACTTTTTTCAATTTATATTCATCTACGTTCACCAAATTACATGTTTTCAAATGATAAAAAATAACTATCCATGATTAATCATATCATAATCTGATACATGACTTTGATTACTTCATAAGACGATAAAAAAAAGAAGAAAATAAAGGAAGGGGATAGAGAATCGTGACATGTGAAAGTATTGGAAGAATCAGATCAGTGTTGAAGACATAGTGGATACACAAATTATACATAACATAGGATGAAAGATATCATTGTTAACCGTCTTGGATGGGAATATATAGATCAAAATTTATAGGATATACACAAACTTCACTATTTTATTCCTTTAGTCTTATACATGTGAATGTTAACTTGGAGATGTTAGTGACAGCGTGCACAAAAGTCTACTAAACTAACGAGCAAAAGATTTTATGTAGCATGATATTAAGCAACTTATTTCCAATGATATGCAGAAGCCAGTAACTAGTATTATTCATACTAGAATAATTCAGATATGTTATTTGGAAGTTCCTATTGTTTGTGATCTTTTTACGTAAATAGTTAGATAATCTAGTTACAATAGGAACTTATTTTCCTAGGAACTTAGTAACTATTTATATCGATAATATGCCGTGAAGCCAATGAAAAGCAGCATTTGCGTTGAGCCGACGGTCAACTAAAATAATTTGATATTGAACCATATTTGGACCTTTGGCTCACTCAGATTCAATGTACTACCATGTGTTATCGTTGCTACTTTACCTGCGTTGGATTCATGCAAATCCGCTTCAGTGAGACCTCTTGAGAAGACATACTGGGGGGCTTGTCAATCAAATTCTTCGATTCAAAACTAAAATTGATGCGTTCATGTTGCTTTTCACTAGGTTGTTGCTCATCGTTTATGTTTAAAATACATCTGTTTTTTCTTGTTTTGCTATAATGATATTGAATTATTTGTTGCATGTGGGTAGAAAATTTAAAAGAGCATGAGATATTAACAAAACCTATAACTACAATTACACAATTACAAGACAAATCTTCACATTATTTCCCACATAGTAGCATCAACTGTTTTAGGAGACAATTTATCATTTCAAGAGAAATATCTTATGTTAATAGCATGGGACCTTATTGCATCGCATATTCTAAATGTACTCACTGCAAAATTTTGTTCAAGTTGCACAATAAATAGATGAATACAACCAAGAAATGAATTCAGCTCATGGAGTTGATTGTATTCGCAAACAATATCTATACCTCATGCCTTGAATTTCTTTAATCAAATTACATAATCTTAAATAAATTATTGGAAATCAACACACTCACTCTTTTAGAGAATAGTGATTAAATTTGACATCTTGTTGCTATGTGGAAAATGAACTTAAAACCTCCCTTCTTCTGCACATCTATGGGCAAAAATTACATGTCATTTGAATGGATTCAATGGCACTACATGTCGAGGATGAAAGATTAATAATCTTCCTTCATAGGTGCAGTCATAATGAGTTCATAAGACATTGATAGAGTTTGCAGCATTACGATGACGTTTTATATATGGCTTTTGTTTCACTTCGATATCTACGTGTTTTGTTCCTTCTTCTACTTGGTTTCTTTGTACCTATGTGACGATTCCATGGGTAAGATACATATGAACTTTTTAAGGGTGCTGCAGGTATGCCATCATAACGGATTGTTGAATTCTACTGTATAGTTTGATCATCTCTTATGTAAGATACGTACCATAAACATTTTCCAAGTGGCTGTAGCGGTAGATATTGAGAAGCATTTGCGTTCAAATTTGTGTTACAGAAGTGGCGGTTGTTTTGGCGGTCTGATCGTGTGGGCTGGCTGTCCCCGGTCGTGGCATTCGTGTCACTTGTATTTGCTCGATGACTGGTGTACCCTCGTTTTGGGCTGGACATTAAGTTAATCAGATCTCCGTCTCTGTTCGACCAAATATTTAAAATACCTTTACTGGATTCTTCTTGGTACCGACTGGATTGGGAAACTTTTGGAACAAGACACCAATTTCTTCAATCTGCAGCCGTCCTTATTTGAAATTTGAAAACAGTGCAGTAGTATCCCATCAAAATTCAACGTTCACTGGGGCCGCGGATTCTGATGGCCGACTTCTGCCACAAGTTTCACATGCTACGATCCACACAAGAAAAGTTGTGCATTTATCTCGTCTTTGGAACTATTTCTCTTTTTATCCAGAGGGCCAGTACGTATTTCTTGCTCCACTGTGCCGATGTCGGGATCAGTTGACTGAAACTTTCATGTCATTTATTGGTCACCAGACTGCGAGAGGACGGTGTGAAGAGAGAGACCGGCTAAAGTGATATCTGCATCATGGTGTTTACAGTACTCGAATGTGCATATTGACTGTACATTTGTTCAGGGACTGGTTTCTTGAAATCTTTCTATAAAGCTAGATAGCATTAGTGTTTTCGGCATCGAAGCACACAAAAGGCGATGAAGTTATCCCCGGTGATTTCGGCTCATCTTCAAACAATCAACTTGGGCCACTGTCAGGTAGTGTGAAGTCAAAACTCACTTAAATCATCGGTATAACTGGGTTCTTTTCGTTTAACAGATCAGAAGTAGACAAAATATTGTCCTTGAAAACTTGCCCAATTGTCTGCTCATGTCAATGCTGTTTCTTAGTTCGGACTGTATTTGAGGAGTAAAATGTGCTACTGTCGTGGTCTCTTAGCCCTGCTCCTTTGCTTTTGTTTTACTGTGTAACGTGCACGTGCTTACTTTCATTCAGAGTTTCTCATTTCTTGATTCTTCAAAATGGGTACTTCAGAAGAGCTTATGTACCTTTGTTTCTGTCTATCTGCGTTCATACTTTCCGTAACAATCATACGACTGAGGAGTACATCCAACTATCCTGCAAGGTCATCACTGAAGGTTGTGGCTGAGTTACCTATCGGTCAGTTTTTCCGCTCTACATTTTGCACTAATCGACTTACCTGTGTGGAGATTGTTTGATGTTTAAAGTGGTATTCTCTCGCGTACTTTTGTTTTTTGTGCGCGTTAGGGTGCTGCTGACCAGAATTATATACAGAACTTTAGAAGATATTTCAGTTTCTAACATGTTCTGCATAGCGACCACACGACTTTGGGCAATTTTTTTTTATATATGGTAATGTCCACTTCTAAGACGAAAGAAGATTGTTCCCAGTATAGGTTTGATTTGTTTACATAGATTGAGTACAAGTCGTCCACACCAGAAGGAAAAACACGGTTGTATGAAATGAAGACACAACTGACGGCTCTCGAAGTGTTTTCCAACATTAGTGACCACCCTGTGAAGCGACTGTTGTCTTGTTGCATTTTTGGTATCACTTTCGTCTCTCTTATGCTGAGCACACAATAGGATATTGGTGGTTGTGACGTGTTGGTAGGCTCCAATAGGATCCAAGCTAACAGCCTGAAAATTACCCAATGTGCAAGAAGGTAGAAATGCGTGGACACGCACTTCTTATGCCAACTCGAACATTGAGATAATAAGTTATCTCACAGTGGTCACACTATACCATGAAAAACCTGGAATAGAAATTTAAAAACACCTATTTCATTTCAGAGACTGAATCTGTACATGATAAATTCACGCACTAGAATCCCAACACTCAGATCTGGTATCAGACCCGGAGATTTCTGGTTTGGGACACCAGAAAGTCCAATCCACATCCCGCTTGAATTGAAGATGCTCTTTCTCTCTACACTGTGTCTTCCTTTTTTGATGTACACTCTCTCTTCCTGGTTATATGTGTGTTGATGATACTTACAAGGCTGGAAAAGAAGATCACACTGAATCTGCCTTGGAGAGAGGGAAAGCAAGGAGCTCAGCTGGAAGGCAGGCGAGATTTCAAGAGACCTGATATGGACCATCCTTCAAACGCACATCTTACCTCCCCATTATGACGAATGTATTGCAGGAGTTTCCGCAAGAAAGAATTACGACTGACTGTTGAACTGTCGCAGATAATGGCGACGTGCTTGCGAGCTCTAGTAATAGCAACATTCATGCGTCGATTATCCCCCAGAAAGCCAACTACTCCCAACCTGTTGGATCTCACCTGCGAATGGAAATTTTCATTCCATGAGGGAAAGTGCACTCTGCCTTTCAAGGCTGTTCTGCTATCGTTCAGTGTCTTCGACAATTACACCTAAACTCTCTACTGCTTGTGATAACCATGCCCAACCTTAAAAAAAAGAAACTTAGGACGTACAGACTGCATAAAGATCCACGGAATACGAGAACTTACCATAGAGATGATGACAGCATCAGCCTCGCGACCTTGAAAACTGTCCACGCTAGCAATTTGCACTCCTTGCGCTCCAGGTATACCTTCAGCTCGGTCTCGCAAAAGCTGCACCTGGGCCAAGTACGGAGACTGGACTGCAATATTTTCTGCAGCCACCCCTGAGAAAATGGCCGCAAAAAGATTGAGGTCAGATATGGAAGTTTACTTCAGCAACCAACCATAAATTGAAGTACCTCAGGGACTCCGTACACATACCCGCAGAGAGAAGAGCTCTTATGTGCTCCATTACAATATCGGCCTCCCCCTCATTGTAGAATGATCCCGTTCCGGCGGGATCCATGCACTCTTCACAGCCAGCTATTAGACTGCCATGTGCCAGTCGAGTATCTAGGAGCAGAAGAGGGACCTGGGTGATCCATGTAGACTGCAAATCCACAACAGAATCCACAATGACGCTCATTTGGTCACAAGAGATTTCTTCAATAGACAACAAAATGACAAATTTCAGCTAGTTCAGAAGTGAAGTAACGTTTCTTCGTATATAAGACTTCAGTAATACAGCGTTTACCTCAACTTCAGGGGAATGGCACAGGAGCCTCGATTTGACAGAAGGCGAGGACTTCAGACGACCTTTATACATTTCCTGTGAGGACCATTCAGCTATTACTTTGTGCATGCGATATTGGGTCTTCAGCATGGTACTTAGTTTACCCCCATGAAGATCCGCGGCTCGCTCCATAAGAGAGACCCCCAACCCTCCTTCCATAGCTTGTCTAGACAATATAGTTGGGGCCAGCTGGCACGAATCCCCAGCGAGGACGGCCCGCTTACCAAGTGAAAGAGGGATCCAGCAAGAGGGTTCAATTGCCTGGCCAGCTTCGTCAATAACAACCAGCCCAAAGGGTCCAACGTGACGTACTAGAGAATCTCCTGCACCGGTATTCGTGCACAGAATGACCTGGGCTTGATTGAGTGTTTCATCAACCAATTCCTTCTCCTTTTGTTTTAGTTGTCTACCAATCTGCTTCAGCATTTGTCTAATACCAACTTCCATTGATTCATCCCCCAGACACTGACGCAAGTCGCTCCTCAAGTCGGCTCGTCTTCTTCCAAGGTCCCTTCTAAAGCCAGAGATGTTAGATTCCACGATATAGCTGAGCGACTTTGCGACCACCGCAGGAGCAACTCGCGCAGGATTGCCCACCCTTACTACATTCACCCCAGCAAGAGCTAGCCTTTCCACAAGATTATCTACAGCTGCGTTCGTTGGTGCTGTTGCTAAAACCTTTTCTCCTTGTGCTACTGCTTGCATTATAATTTCTACGACAACTTTTGTTTTCCCTGTTCCTGGTGGACCTTGTATGATAGCAACTGGTCTTCGCTTGTCTAGCGCAACTTCGATGGCCCTGCGTTGAGACTCGTCAAAGTCCCCGTCCAGTATCACTGGAAGAGGAGATTCAATTTTGTCGGCTGGCTTCATCCAGTCAATTTCCAAGCCTTCACTAAATAATGTTTTCACTATGGAAATCGCAGGGTTCTTTCTCTGCAAGCCCTGCTTTTGAAGCCTGTCAAGAGCTTCACAATCGCGCTGCCATATAGTCAACATGAAACAATACCTCAGACACAAATGTTGACAATTATACTAAACGATATATGTGTAGAAGAGGTATAAACAATTAAGAACAGTAATTTCAAAATAAAGATCGATTTCTCGCTCTTTTTCAAATATGTCGCCATAGTCTTTATGAGACCGTTATGAGACCATTAAACGGGGTACGTAGAGGTACCTGGTAAGTAGTGGCATCCGCAAGATCGCTAATACGGTCAATTCTCAGAGGTCTGCCAAACAGCCGAGAAAATGTGGGATCTCCGTAGCGAGCTTCAACGGCGACTGCTATGCTGGTTCCATCTTCCCCGAGACTGTAAACTGAGCCTCGCATACATTCTGTAGCCCCTGCCCCCTTCCGGTCTGATACGCGCACACAAACCATGTCCCCTGGAGACATAGAAGATGGTGGCAAACGCTCCCCGCCTTTGGCCGCGAGTGTGACAAGATGCATACCTCCCAACCCTGAAAAACGTCATTGAGTTCAATCCTCTATCCCACTTGTTTGGTTTTTTCAAAAAGTTGCTTCTCAATCTAAGGTAACCATGTAGACAATACACTAGTTATTGCGTATGTAAGCATAGACACGTTAATTGTGCAGCAGGGAAGAGAAAAGAGCACCTGTAGATGAACTGACGGCGATGAGGTTGCGAATAGTATCGTTAGATTCAGGATGCAGATCCTCTTCCGCCAAGAGCAATTCTTCGGGAGTAAGAGGAGCGCTTCCTGCAGGAACCGAGTCTAAAGAGTGCTGGGTAGCATCCAGCTCTGCATCTCTTTCGATGCGCAGAAGCTCGAACGCATGTGCGACGAACTTGTCAATTCTTTCCTGAATGACCGCCATATCATCTCTTGTGAGGCCCAATTCACCCTGCCTGACTTCGTAGGATTTTCTTGTAGACTTTCGATGTCCATCTATGATCAAATTCAGACAAATTTGATCATAATTTCACACATTATATACTTGACAGACTTTTCAAGTTGGAAGCTAAGGAGGCAATTGTTATCACAGGAATGACCATAATTTCAAAACATAGAAAATTTTGTCAACAGCTCTGAGTGAAGTTAATGTATAACGTACTTTGAGTACTTTATACATTAACAAGAAAAGGCACCACACATATATTCAAGACGCAAAAGTGGTCGGCTACAAAAAACTGTTGCTGGTGTGATCTTTGTGAAATACATGACTTACACCCCAGATCAACAACGCTGCTTCGGACATAACCAATCAGATCAAGCCAATAGACACCATACTGGGCATAAATGACAAAATCTTGAAACCAATTCGGTGGAAAAACTACTCACCAGATTTTGCATGTTTCTTGAGTAGCTTCCAGGCTTGGGACTGCTGCCAATTCGCTATTGCTCCCGTCTTTTGCAGTTCCTGCAACGCTTCCTGAAGGCCCCTTTGAAAGTGGTCGAACAGAGTTGGGTAATGTGTGCTTGCTTTGAGGCATAAGGCCTCCTGATGAAGAGGCATTGGGTTTTCGGCAAGGTAGGGTTGGGCCACCGCTACGAACGCTAATCCCGCTTGCTTCATGATCTCCTCGATCTCCTGAGTGTCACCTTTTTCTTCTGCCGTTGCGACTTGCTTTACCAGGGCCTGGATTCCGCAAGCAATCCACTTCACAACAGACTTGCCCAGCAACCTTTTCCCCAACGGATCCCCACTTTGCCAGCAAATTTGCTGCAAATCTGATGGCAGCTTCTTGTCATGCTCTTTCTCATTACCAGCAGGTACTAACTCAGACGTTGAGGGCTCCGCAGAACTGTCAACTGTAGTTAAAACTGGCAGCTCTGCGGAGTTAACAGTGGTTCTGGTAGTACCCTTGAGACTTGGATCTAAAGTCTTGCTTTCACTCTTGGTGCGTGGGCTTCTTCTCTTACGACGTACTTTCTTCTGCTCTTTCTCCGCAAATTCTGTTTGTCCAGCCTGCACAGAAACACACAGAATTGCAGCTGGTCGCACTGTGAACGGGAGCATAAGAGAACCATCCACGCCCGTGCGGCTGCTGCAAGGCTTCTGCCTCAACTTCAGATTCACCCATGATGGATGCGCTAGGAAATTGCATCCAAAAAATCCCGATGAAGAAGCAGATGAATTGAATTTCTCTGGGCACTGAATCTGTCTCGTATCATTTGAGAAAGTGGGTGACACTGCAGAGAAAAGAGAAACTCCCGGCAGACTAGTACAGGGCGCCATAAACTGAATCATGCGATGACACTCCAAACGCAGATGTGAATCACAGTACCCTCCACAAGCTCAATTATCTCATTGCCTTAACACCCTTTCTTCGAGACTTGAAGTGTGCTGGTTTCGCCAGCCCATTCACACCTCCAGAAACTCTGCTGAAGTAGGACACAATTGGGATTGACGGACAACTCTCTTAAGACTTTTGCCCTTAACTTATGCCCCAACACTAGCCCTCTTTGCCAACTTCTCGGAGCAGGTGCGCGGAGACTGGAATTGCGGAATCTGCCGGTATCTTCTTCAAAGTTGGATCCCTGCCGGCATTCGTGACAATGCAGTCCATCCGCTCTTTCTCACTCGCACCAGTTGCTGAAATCCGACCACGAAGCCAACTTCACATCCGGGCCAGAAGCGATGGGATGATATGGCAATCACAGGAGAGGAGAAAAAGATCTTCTGGAGAAAACAAACGCTGTGTGGTGGAGGCTCAAAGGACGTGGAGGCCCCGAACTCTCCCATCGGCTTGTTTAGATTTTCTGTTCTTGTCCTTTCCTCTCTACAACTTACTACTCATTACTACTCCTTGGTCATTGATTTTTCTCTTACTGCTGCCTCTAGTATTTGTGACAACTTCCTCGTTGCTCTGCAGTGTCTGATTATCGACAGTGTATCGGATACACTGTCGTTGGTTAAGCTCTACCGCCTGTTCTATCCCGCCTCCAGTTCTCAGAATCCTTAGATGCCGACGGCTACATCCCATGCTTCTCGGTATCGCAGAGGAGGAGCGAGTAAGATTGCGAAAAGGATATAGTAAATGGGCTAACGAATTACCTGACAGATAACAATCCCTCTTTGTCAAGCGTCAACCTTTCGATAGAGATCCAAGGTTTTAGGTGATCATCTAAACATCACGTGAGGTACATACGTATCATTCTGAGCCAGTGAAGTATCTCGCGTTTTCAGCAGATCCGATTCAATTGAACTACAACTGGCGTAGGGATCCTTGCCATATCTGCAGTGAGGGCAAATCCGTACAGAGACAAGACAGTACTGGTCGTGAGAAGATTGATTGTGTCCAATGAGAGAGGAAGGTATTTGATTGATGGACCTTCTTGCTATTTTCCCCTACCCCACTCTATATTGAAACTTCGTTTGTGTTTGATATCGTTTGATCTACTGGCCAAAAGCAAAAAATGTCGAATCTATCAGTGTCGGAACTTTAAGCAAATACGGTATGCACAATGAAAAATATATACTTGTGTTGGCAATGCGATGTGCCAGTATAATCAGCATATGGTAAAGGTTAAGAAATTTACTTTATAAAATGTTGGTCAAAATCACTTACAATCACTCTAAAATAAATCTTAGTAACAAGGTTATTTCATACACGAAACGATTGATGTATGAAACATAGGATGAGTAGTTATCTCATATCTATTTGGAACAAAATGTATCAGAGATAATAAGTGCAGGATGTTCTATATAATTGATCATTTAATTTTAAATTGAAACATAGTAACATAATGAGCTTTTGTGAATGAGAGAAAACTAACAGTTATTAAGTGAATTAAATCCCAGTATGATTTGTGACACATATATTCAAACTGATATATGTAATTGGAAAAATTAATGGATATGTAATATATATGTTTCTTATGCTTCCACTCATATTTTCAAACTATAACATTATTTGTAATAAAATTCATTATATCATGAGTTAATATTTTAAAATTAATTCAAATCTTGAGTTAAATTTTAATCTAGCTTGATTTAGATTTAAATTTAATCCTAGTAAGGGTAAAAACTAAAAACATTCAAGTTTCCAATTTATATAATAATTCGAGTCATATTTTGCATTGAACACTTTTGTAGATTTTCAATAAAAATCTCCTTTTTCTCGTTGGTAGTTTGAGATTATTAAAACTGGTATTTTTTTTTCGGTGTCATACATATATGTATATTCATAGATGTCTTTATTGTTTATATTAGTACAATTGATATTAGAGTCATTGGTAACAATGTTTTCGATTATAAAAATTTAATACATGACTAAGTTAAATTATTATTTTTTTCTTATGGTGTATCTCATATTGATATTGTGTAATACTAGAAATTAAGAGAATAGCTCATTTAAATATGAAACACAACTTTGGAATAGTTGTGTGAAACTCAGAAAGTTGGAATGAATACAAGAACTCTTACCAAATTTCTACTTTTTTAAAGATCTTACCAACAAGTACAAAGAAATAACATTTCATCCCTAACATCCGTTCTTCCATTTTTAGTGAATTGATGATATAACTAATAATCTTGCCAAACATGGTAAAATCCCTCGTTATATATGTGAAGTGATACTAGAATAAATCAATGAGTTAATTATGATTATTTTAGCTATGACTAAGTTTAACTATAATGTTCATATTTTACGGAAGAATTAAAAGATATAATGAGCAATATCATTTTTTCATCTATAAAAGTCTAGATTACAAGAAAGAAATACCTTGACTATATGTTAAATTTGATTGATTTCACTAGAAAAGGGAAATTTATTAGTTAAATTTAATCCAAAAGTTAACTAAATGGCAAGTGGAACTTCAAGAAGTTTGAAAATTTCAAATGACATGTTACCATCTCAACCTAGAAACAATTTTTTTTTAAAAAATATTAAGCTAAACCAATATCATATTGCCACGTAATGAGAAATAATCAAACTTATCATAGTTTATTTAAATAAAAATAAGATATGTATTATTTACTATCTGTTTCAATGTTAATTTTTAAAGTAATATAAATAGAGAGACAGAGGAGACATTCTCATGCAAGTTTTGAGAGTTCATTGTGTAAATATTTGTTTCATCAATATAAGTTTGAGTTTTACTATTTTGTTGAATTATTGATGAATATTTGTAATTGAATGATGAGTTGAAATTTTTTTGTGAAAGTATGTTTGGAACACAGTAAAGTTAACGATTACTTTTTTTCTAGATTCATAATGAATTATAAAGAAATCATTAGAAATAAATCTGAGTGAGAGTCACAATAGAGGTTATAATTTTTTGCGATACTTTAATCTAGAAAGAGAATGTGTAGGGTTCAATTTCTTGCACGATTATAAATAACAATTATAGGTAATATGATGTTGACTTTGATATAATGTAATAATGTAAGACATGCTTGCAAGTATTATAATCTTTGTGTATTCAATAGCATTCTATGATACCCTGAAGATATTTTGAATATTATGTTCATCAAAACACATTGTTCTTTGAAAAGTATTTGAACTTGAAGATCAAATTTTTTTAAATAGTATTTTTCAAATTATTTTGTGATTGTAGAGTGAGAGATGAGATATGTTGAAGTTTTTATTTCATGTCTAGATTGTATATATGATCAAAGTTATGACTTTAAGAACTTTGAGGAATTTTGACACATACCAAAAGTTAGCTTTAGTAAAAATATGTACAAAGTTATTTTATTTTTTAGTTCTTGGAATATTCTAGAACTTTATACGATTTTACGCTAAAAACTAAGCTACGTGATTGGTAAAATTTCATAGAGAGATTACATTCGAAGAGTAAATTATGATATTCTAAAGTTTAGGAGTATAAAAGTAAAATTTGAATGCAAAATCTTGTGGTTTTGTTATTTGTAATTTTGATCACTTATAGAGTGTTTTGGAAAAGATTTTTCTTGATTGTTTTTCATCCTATGAAAAAATGAGTGAAATGAGTTTGAAGGTTAGATTTTCCAAAATAACTCAAGGCTTGGATGTTAATCTTCCTAGATGCTAACACAAACACACTTAAAGTAAAGTTTGAAGAAAACATAACAATTCAATCTCTTAGAGTGAAAAGCAAAATGTGTTTTGTTGTGAAGAGTAGTCACACAAGGTTGTTAATTTTTTTTGCGCAACAAGCATCTTTGAACTCCAAAAATACTTTCATTCAATTTTACTTGAAATATAGTTTTGGTAGCTCATCATGATTCTAGAAGGTAAAAATTTTTCAATGTGACCATGTTCCAAAAATCCTCTAACACAAAAAACTTATTATTCATCATTCCAATCAATCACACATTGATACTCAAAATAATGATGTAACATAGCATTATATTGATAAAACAAGTCTTCATACAATGAAATGTGAACTTTGAGTTGACTATTTCTTAGTTTTAATTCAGATGGTTTTTTGCTAACTCGTCATGATTCTAGAAAGTAAGATTGTTTTAAGATGTTTGCGTCCAAAATATCCTTTCATATAAATTCTCTAGTTAGACTTCCAATCAATCACACATTAATACTCAAATTGATAGTGTAATGTAGCATTATATTGATCAAACAAATCATCATACAATGAACTCTTAAAATTTGCTTGAGAGTATATTTTATACCTCTTTATATATATTATTTGAAAAAATACTATATAAACAAATTATAATTATCATCTAACTTACTTTTATAAAGATAATGTAACCATCTTCAATTAATTAGAACTAAAGTAGAGGATACTCTAAATGTTGATATAGATATTTTAACGTGCACTAGTCGTAGCTATCACGTCAGCGATCTATATGCTTGTTGGGTAAAGATTGAGTGTGTTAGTTAGTGTGTTAGTAAGGAGAGCCACATTAGCAATCCGTGTGCTTGTTAGGGTTATCTGCCACGTCATTCATCCATTAAGGTTGGGATGGATGGTGTGAGTAAGATTTTATCTCCTTGTACTTGTTGGTGAGAGTTATATAAGGGAGAAAAGAATCATTATTGGTTTCTCTCATATTCAGAGTTTACGTTTACATCTTCGAGTGAATTTCTCTTTAAACCCTAGTGTTACAATGGTATCAGAGCGATCTTGCTCTTTCTTTGAGTGTGGATAAACCCTCATGCAATAGCAAGTGAGTGATGATGGAGTGCAGTTTTGAGAGTGTATAGAGGTTGGCAAAGGTCATTAATCTACACGTAGAGAGAGGTGGAAGGGGGAAAATTGTGGTTTTGCATATATGGACGAGCTTGACAGGAATTCAGTACCGCACTAACCAATTCCTAATCTATTCGATATTCACCTTTGTTGCATGGAGAAACATCATTTTTGAATGTACATTGTGGTTTGTTGGGTGCAGATTTTATGACTAGAGTGATGGAGTCGAAAGTGTCACTGACTTTTTCAACAGTTACTTATGGAGAGATTTGAGATTGTACCCTTTACATTCTATACTCAATGTTTCATGGATTTGAATCTTTAATCACATACCCCGGTTCAGTTCAACATTTATGTAGAGATTAGAACAGTATACCGATAGAAGAGATTGTGAAGAGATTTTCTTGTGAGGAATTATGGGGAAGATTATCATAGAGCTGTGATAGAATCACATAAAATCTTTGTACTTCCTCTTTTGAGAGGTTAGATAGTGATTATCCTCACTTTGTATTAGAGTGAGTGTGAGAAAGCATGGGAACATGAATTGATATGAATGAATATCTCAATGCAATCATGGCGGAGATAAAGGAGTTGAAAAAAGCGATAGTAGATAGGCATACCAAGCAACAAGCCATGGAAGATAAAATCTTCGCATTGAAGAGTGAGAAAGTAGAGATAGAGAGTTTGAGAGATGGAAATTGAACCTCAAGTTTAAGCTCCCCAAGTTTAGCCAGAACTAACTCCTATTGATGCAGCAGAGTCAAAAAGGAAACGTTGATTGAAGATCAAACAAATCGTTTACTTTGAATGGGGAAATCGTGTAAGGTGGAAGCTTACAAAGGTAATAGAGCAATGGGAGTGTTAAAGGGATGAATAATGAAGATGAATATTCATTTATCCTATTTTCATGTTTCTGATTACATCGTAGGAATGTTCATGCGATCTTATCATGGTACACATGGGAGAGAATGTTTTCCGAACGAAGTGCTACCATTTCGTGGAGTAGAGTGCAAGAATGAGTTCTGCAAAATTTTCAAGCGGTGGATTTTTTTCAAACTACAAGAATGAAGTTGTGGAATCTGAAGCAGAAAGGAGATATTCATGAGTACATTGAAGAATTTCATGATCTTCAAGTATCTATCATGGATATGAGTGGAGCAGAAGTCTTGCACGTGTTAAAACGAGGCTTGAAGTATCGAATTTGAAAGAAGT